CATCTATCACCATTGCACTCGCGTCTCGCACAAGAGAGCGGCATGTTTAGAAAGCTATGGAAAATTAATATAAGTTAAACTTTTTAAAAACATGTCTCAAGACTTTATGGCGGTTTTTCCCATCCTACTGCATCTCAAGTTTTTAATTAAATGAAGAAAATACTCTTTGTGATTGGTTTTCGGTCCTTTGTATTACACATGATTCTGTTTTGTTTCTAATTGTTTTAGCAACTTTAATTATATAAGGTTTATAAACATTATTTTAAACTTTTTTCAAATCTCAGGTGAAGGCCAGAGTCCGGCTCGCTTGCCCTGTGGCTTTAATGCCATTAAAGATTAATTTGACTCCTTTAGTCTGATTGAAATATTCAGCCTGGCCATGAGCAGCAGAGTTAATGCTATGAGATTTTAATAAGCAGGCAAGTGAAGAGGGTCAGAGAAAGAGAGGAGAGAAAGGCTGGGGGCAGAGACTCAGATAGAGATGTGTGTGTGTGTGTGTGTGTGTGTGTGTGCAGGGGGCGGTTAAAGGCTGAGCTGGGGTCATTGTGTTAGCTTGTGCTGCTGAATGGTGGGATTGAGATGGTGGGAGGAGGAGTGCAGGCACAATAGTGAAGTGAGGCTAGTGTTCTTCTCTTCTTCCTGCATCACTCCTTTTTCTTTTTTTCCACTTACTGATCTAGTGTTACCGTAGCAACGCAGCCACTTGGGCAAGAAATGCACCAGAGCCTCCGCTCGAGGCTGGGCCGGGACTTCCTGAATGGGCCTAGTTTTCTCTACCGTAGTGTAGTGCTCGTGTACTCCTCTCTTGAGTCCCGGCACATGCACATGCACACACACTCCTTCTGCTTATGTTATATGTATATGTATAAATATGTATATGTTGCTTGTGATGATCCTCATTTGCTGCTTTGGAGGAAAGTGTCTGCTAAATGAATAAATGTGAATTAAGAAAAAAACAGTTCAATAATTTTACAAAGGAGTAGTTGAGTAAAACACACAGTTCTGTCATCATTTACTCATTCTTCTGTGGTACACACAAAAAAAAGATATTAGAATGTCCAGGCTGCTCTGTTTCATGCAATAAACAGTGAATGGGAATGGTGTGTTTTGGAGCTTCAAACACTACCCCAAAACACCATAAAAGTATCATGAAAATAGTACATTCCTCTTAATACACTGTATTTAAGTTATTATTAATTGAAAATCTTCTGCTATTCTTTTAATACAGCCTAAATAACTATGCACTTTGCACAACAGAGCTGTTCATCGATGGTCCAAAATAAACATACCACTACAGACAAAATTTACCAGCAATGGGTGTTTTACATTATATTTCTGACCCTCCATTGGAATATACTAATACTTTTAAACTTCAAATATTTCATAAAGACATGGTTAAAGTAATCCATATCATTACTTTAAATGATGAACATATTTAATTTAGACTTTTTTTTTTACATATAAATATTGATTAAAGCATTTACGTAGAGCCCATCAAATATGGTAAATGGAAGCTTAAACATGTTTGCTTGGCCCGTGAGATCCAAAGAAGTTCTTGTATGTTTAGCAAGCTGCAATTGGCCATATTAGTTTTTGTATTCTACTCTATTTTCTGCCAAAAAAGGGGATTTGTTTATATATTTCCATCACTGCTGACGTTTACACGTCTGCTTCTGTGTGGTAGACTACTGACCTCAATAGTAGTTGAATAACATAAAAAATTCTCAACATAGACAGTCTGTCAGCTTTTAAGAGGCACACCGGCCCTGCGTTGTTTTATAAACAACAGCGAATTATGTCAGGATGTTTTTTTGACTGATAAGGAGCCCAGAAATTCTTCATTTCAAAGTGTGTGTGTGTGTGTGTGTGTGTGTGTGTGAGTGAGTGTGTGTGTGTGTGTGCTCTCATGAATATCTCGTGACACGTGACATGGCATGTTGACAGGCTGGGATTCCCTCATCCCGCTTTAGCATCAGCACTTTCTCATTTCACTCTTAACAAGTCATTCTAACTCTCCGCTGATGCGTGGGAATGAATGTTTTCAGGTGTTTTACCTCGAGATCTGATGTTTGGCACACAGAGATTCAATGAGAGTCCAGCAAACATGTGTGTTGTAAATGCATGGTCCTAAAAATGATGGGATCACATTTTTTCCCATATACTTAATGCACCAGATGTCCTCGTTTAATTGCAAAATATAAAAGGAAGTTGTTGGCATGCAAACTTTTGGCATTTTATAAACGTCGTTAAAACATCCAACCTGGTAAAACCCCGTAAAAAGAGAGAAAAAGATCCGAGCCATTATAGTTAATTAAAACAAAACAAAAAATAATAAATAAAATAATAATAAAAAATTACTTGAAATTAAAAAAATTTAAATAAAATTAAATAAAATTCATTTCAACTAGTTGACAAGGCAACATTTCTCATTTTCATTTAGTTTAATTTGTACTGAAATAACTAAAACTGATAAAAGTGAAATAAAAAATAATAAAAATGTCAGCATATTTTAAAATAATAATAAAAATGACAAAAACACACAAATGAATTACTAAATCTGTAACTAGATCTTAAAACTAATTCAAAATAATAATACAAATGTTTATTATATCTTAATGATACTAAAATAACACTGGTAGATATCAAATATGACACTCTAGTGTTATTGTCTTGTATTTATTCAGAACTAATTTGTAGTACTGAATTTCATATATTCACATCTATATCTAGCCTATAGAAATATGTATGTGTAAGAGATTTTTGGACATATATGTCATGTACATGTACAGTATATCCATTCTAAAATCCATCAGTACATGCTGATATTATAAGTTCATGTAAAAGACAGACATGTATTTTGTGTTTCTTCGCCATACTGAATTTCTTAGACTGAATCTTAATATTTGTCACATTGCTAGCAGTATTTTTTATTTCACCTTCACTGTAGATAATAAACATCTAAATATATTGACATTACTCTCATGTGTTGCTTTCATAAGTTTATTTAGATGTCATTGATATTATTTGTCAAGTCCTGTCAGCAGCTCTCTTTCTGCTTTATTCAGTTTAATATTTTAGATATGAATGAGAAATATATGTCTTTGGCATAAAACATTAAACTGACAAGAATGTAGTCTCACAAAGTACAGGGAGAGAGTCTGAGGTTCTTTCAGTCTTACAAAACTAAAATGGAAAAGAAAATAGAAAAATATGGACACTACTAATAAAATTACTAAAACTTAAACTAAATAAAAAATATGGACAAAAACACAATAATTACTCACATGAAAACAGAAAAATATAAGCAACAAAAACTAATAAAAATGACAAAAACAATGAAAAATTACAAAAAAAAAAATGTAACAAATGAAACTAGAAAAATATGGACGTTTAAAAAAAATGATAAAAATGACAAAAACTCACAACAAACACTAAAACTAAAAATTAAAAATGACTAAAAATTAAAATGAAAACAAAGTGAAATCTAATTCAAAATATTAACAAAAACTATAAAAATGCATCGATGATGCTAAAATAGCATTCTAAGCATTCAGACTTTCGACTTTTGCATGACCAGTGTTTATGAAGACAAAAAGCCGTATCTAAGGATTAAAATATGACCGTTATAATACATTATAATATCTACTTATTCATTGTTAATATTTTAAATACTATAATATATTATAAAACATGACAAAACGTAAAATATGGTGACAAAATCTGGTGTTGATCATGCTTTAATGTATTATATTGATATTAAAAACTTACTGATTTTATAATATTGATTTTATAAAAACTTATAACAAAAAATAAAAATCAAGTCATAAACAGTATATCAGTGATACTAAAATAACACTATTCAAAGCGTTCAGACTTTTACAGTATGACTTTTGCATGGCCGATGTTTATAAAGGCAAAAAAAAAAAAGTTTACGTGCAGATGGAAGAGAATATACATAACACGCACATTCTTCTCTCCCATTGTCATTTTTATTTATTTATTTTTTCTCCATTGACGTCATCGTTATAGGTGTTGCTTTCATAAGTTTATTTAGATGTCATTGATATTATTTGTCAAGTCCTGTCAGCAGCTCTCTTTCTGCTTTATTCAGTTTAATATTTTAGATATGAATGAGAAATATATGTCTTTGGCATAAAACATTAAACTGACAAGAATGTAGTCTCACAAAGTACAGGGAGAGAGTCTGAGGTTCTTTCAGTCTTACAAAACTAAAATGGAAAAGAAAATAGAAAAATATGGACACTACTAATAAAATTACTAAAACTTAAACTAAATAAAAAATATGGACAAAAACACAATAATTACTCACATGAAAACAGAAAAATATAAGCAACAAAAACTAATAAAAATGACAAAAACAATGAAAAATTACTAAAAAAAAAATGTAACAAATGAAACTAGAAAAATATGGACGTTTAAAAAAAATGATAAAAATGACAAAAACTCACAACAAACACTAAAACTAAAAATTAAAAATGACTAAAAATTAAAATGAAAACAAAGTGAAATCTAATTCAAAATATTAACAAAAACTATAAAAATGCATCGATGATGCTAAAATAGCATTCTAAGCATTCAGACTTTCGACTTTTGCATGACCAGTGTTTATGAAGACAAAAAGCCGTATCTAAGGATTAAAATATGACCGTTATAATACATTATAATATCTACTTATTCATTGTTAATATTTTAAATACTATAATATATTATAAAACATGACAAAACGTAAAATATGGTGACAAAATCTGGTGTTGATCATGCTTTAATGTATTATATTGATATTAAAAACTTACTGATTTTATAATATTGATTTTATAAAAACTTATAACAAAAAATAAAAATCAAGTCATAAACAGTATATCAGTGATACTAAAATAACACTATTCAAAGCGTTCAGACTTTTACAGTATGACTTTTGCATGGCCGATGTTTATAAAGGCAAAAAAAAAAAAGTTTACGTGCAGATGGAAGAGAATATACATAACACGCACATTCTTCTCTCCCATTGTCATTTTTATTTATTTATTTTTTCTCCATTGACGTCATCGTTATAGAATTGTTCATGCCAATCATGCCGTGTCTGTCTGGCATGGGATTACAAACCTTGGCAACTGAGCTGAACTGAACTGAGCGCCCAGGGATCTCCATTCATCCGGCTCCTTCAGACCGGTTCTGTGTGTGTGTGTGTGTGTGTTTGCATGTATTGTGTTGCTTGCTCACAGTTAAATGTCACATTCTGTGGTACCTCTACAAAACAGCAGCTGAAAACACAGGTCTTGTGTTTTGAGTGTTGGGCAGGTTGTAATGATGTTGGGTGTAGACTGCAGTTCGCTCTCCGGGGAGCATGAGCCTGAGATGGTTGTTACTAGCTCAGACCAGCTCAATACTGCTTTTTTACTTGCCTTGAGTTGTTTACCTCTTCTTTTTTCCACGTCCTTAAAGAAAACTCTCTTCTTCTCTTTTTGTTTCAGCCGCAACACCTCTAAAGAGCTAAAGTTGGAGACCACAGGTAAGGCTCATTCAGCTCTGGCCAAGATATTCTGCTGTTTCATTGGTATATCTACGACTGTTTTTCTTTTTCGTGTTTTCAACAAATTGTCTTATTTTTATGTATTTATTTTTGAAAATGTGTTATTTCTTTCTGCACCTTCTCTTTATTTTGAAAATGTTGAGTAAAATTCAGAGTTTATCAAAAAGTTTGCAGGTTTTATCAAAACATTAGAACATTCTGGGAAATTATAAATCCTCACAACATGGTCCATTTATTTTATTATTAATGTAGTATTTATTTATTATATATAATATTATAATATCATATATTTGATATATATATATATATATATATATATCAATATATATATATCAGTATATATATATATATATATATATATATAC